GTTAAAAAAAACATTGGCAAGATAAAAAGTTTTTGACCGGTTTTTCGAGATGTCAAAACAATTTTTGTTTGTGCGTTAATGTCATGTTTATTACATTGTTATGGGACTCTTGTTATTTTCACAGAATTTGCCTGTTTCTGTATGTCTAAATAAAACTGCTGTAATATGATGTTTTTCCTTAAATTCCGGTAAACACTGATTATTTTAACTGAAATTATTACGGAAAATTTTACTGTGGTATTTACACGTAAATGTAAATGAATTAAATTCGTATTTTATATTTTTTAGTACTCATTATCGGATTAACAATGACTTCATATACTTTGAAATGTTTTAAATTATAAACTAAATTGTTTCTTCTTGTAATGTATTTATATCTCCCACAATACAATGCCGCCACTAAGCGGAAATCTCGCTTTTTCAAATTTAAACTTATTTTCATAAACTTTAAACGCCATTACCCGTAAGTAGGGACACGGAAAAACTATCGATACTTTTTGGTATCGAGTAGGTACTTTCCCTCCGATATCGATACTTTTTGACAAGTATCGTATTGTTTCGAATAATTCCCACTTAGGACACCTCATATCACGCAAGCCATCCCGCGATTTTTTTTAAATGGCAACCTTTATCACAAATTACTTGGCTGTATATTGTACGCCACCATTTGCCCTTTTAAAAGAAGTTTGTCCTTTCTTCAAAACGTTTGTTCTCAAAAGCAGGCAGTACAGTATCAAAAACGAGAAACAGACCGCCACCAAATAGATTTTTGTTTTCAAGTGATTATACAGAGGAGTGGGAAATTGGAAATTTAAGTGATACAAATTATGTAAAATAACGATTGATTGAATAGAACAATTAATTGAATTAATAAAATTCTTTTATTATTTTCTTCAATTTAAAATCACAAATCAATAAAAAAATACAAATTTATGTGTTTTATTTTGCCTTTAAGTAGGAAAAATCTGCAGGACAAAAGTATCGATACCTCAAGGCATCGATATTTTTGTTTCGATGCTTTTATCAGTACATATAAAAGCATCTATATACTTTTTATGCGATACTACTCATAAGTACTGTATCGATACTTTTGATTCGATACTGTGTCCCTTCCCGTAAGTTGACTATTACGTTTAGCGACAGTATTGGTTTTAACGTGCTATATATTTTTCACAACACTCCATTTTTTACAATATTTATTAAGTAAATAAACATAGATACGTAAGCAAATATTATTATTACGTTTACATTATATTATTATTAACGTTCTTATATGTGGTGTTTGATTTAAATAACTATTATTAGAAAATATTCCCTGGTTGCACTAAGGAGTGCAAAAGGTTGCATTATCTAATATTCTATCCTGTAGGTTTCCTTCACTACTTAGCAATTGTCATAGAACATTTTATTATATATAAATATTATTTTATTTTAATATTTCATTTGTACGTTGAGCAAATTTTCATTCAAATACGAAATACTCTACGTGTATATTTTTATTTATTGTTTTATATATAACAGAAACACGTAGGGTTAGCACGAAAGAGTGCGACTCGCGCGAGTGTGACATAGAGCGCGAGATATCTATGCCAGAATAGCAGTATCTCGCTTTATGTCGCTATCAAGCTAGTCGCGCCCTTTCGTGCTAGCCCTACTGATATTGAGCGACGTTGTGACCGACAACGTCTTTTTAAAAAATAATCTCAAGTGACGGGACGAACACGTGCGCCTGATGGTAAGCTACACGCCTGTCCACAACAGTTGCAGTGCCACTCAGAGCTTTAAATCGCAATGATCAGAGGTGCACTGCCACTGCGCCCTGATTATATATATATATATATATATGTAGTAATTTCACCAGCACCTTTACCCTTCAAAACCGGTACGCAGTAATGCTAGCATTACACATTGTACACAGAAAAAAAGGATTTCTACTAATAAGAAAGAGCAATTTCTCAAAATATTTGCTAATTCTGAAAACATATTTATTTAAAGTAATAAAATATTGTCATTACAAAGATACTGCTTATCTTTTTCTAATACAATTTTACTCTTAACTTTATTCTAACTTTGAGACAAATACGTTCACTTCAAGATTTTATTTCATTTCTAATCAATTAATTGGACATTACTTACATCAAGAAATTTTTTCCTCTTACATCAAATCTAAATAATCTCAAATGAATCCCCAATTTCTTGGATGTATTTTAAGAAAATATTTTCTTAGACAAAAAAAAAGTTATTTTGCTAATAAGAGTAATATTCTAAATTCGAGAATACATTTTTTATGGCAACATTTTGCTTTGTCATTTTCAATCATGTCGTGACATGTTGAAAACGCGCGCGCTCCGTCTCCGTGGCCGTGGTATCTGCGATTGAAGAAGCCATCCATAAATCAATAGCCAATTATTTAAAATGTGAAGCAAAGTGAACTATACTTACTTAGTTTTACTTGAAATCTTAAAAAGGTAAGGCAAGGAGAATAAAATCTTAAAAAGGAACTGATTTTTCTATTTGTTGTTTGTGGAAACAGTAATGGATTCGTTGAAAGAACTTTTGGAATCGTGGAATATACCACAAGTTGTAGTGACCAATTTTATTGGTGAGTGATTTGATGTTATTATGAATTAATTGTGTAAGTATTACATTTTTATGCGCATGATGATATTTTGTACGTAACGTTGAATGTAAGCGTAAAATGGAGGGATCTTAGACGAACTTTTCCTAGAAATAGGTATACAGTATACTTAAACATGGGATTATTTAATTTATGAGTTTTTATGTAAATAATCTCTGTTTAGAATCCCGATTTAATGTCGTCATTGTTTATTAAAAATAATGTATCTACCTTTGAAATGCGTGACTTCGACAATTAGCATTTTACAATAGAAACTAACTTTTAACTGCCTCTGTGGCGGTTACCTTGCCGGACTGCCACGCAGAGGTCCCAGGTTCGATTCCTGGGCCGGGAGAAATATTTATACGGCCTAGTTTGGGTGCAGTTTGTGGTTGTCTATGTGTGTGTTCATGGCACCCGCGACACAGGGTTTCCCTAGTGCGGGGTATATTCAGTGTATGTGTTATTGAGTGTGTGTGTTATTAAACTAGAAGTAAAATACATAAAAAGATATTTGATTTAATTTGACTTTATTTACAAACTTGACTACTTTTGCAGAGAATGGTATAACGATTGAACATTTCCCCAAATTAAAACTAGACAATTTGAAAGAATTATGCCCACATATGGGGACTAGACTATCTTTAGAGGAAAAGATAGGGGAGCTTATTACTGCACAGGTGAGGGACCTGTATGTTTAAGTTAAAAAATTTAGTTGAAAGTGCTTTCATACTGACTATCTTAACATAGCTTGACTATAAAATACACAAAATAGTCTATTTTTTTAACTTTACAGGCAACGACAGATGCAGTATCTGAATCAACTGATGATCAAGTCATTATTACTCCCACCTCCAGTAAATTTGAGACAAGCACCAGTGATGCCGGTTTATTAGTTTCATTAGATGAACTACAAGTGGTCGACGTCTTGGAAACAACCAAAAGTGTATCTAGAAAAACATTTCCACATTTTGATTTGGAGACACTACTGCATACGTCAGCAGGTGGCAATAGTATTTTAAAATACTATGAAACATATGGTTTTCTCAATAATACCAAGAGAAACCAGTTGACCGATATAATTATAAAACATATATACACATACATTGTCAATTAGTAAGTATATACTGTATATATTAGTAAGTATATACTGTGTTCTGATTACTTTTACACTTCCCAATAATACATCACTCAAATTTTTTTAGCCGGATAACCTATGAAGAATATAATATTATATCTGCGAAAATAATATCACTGTTTCCAAAGGAGTCAATAGGCACTTATTTTACCAAACCTATAAAAAAAAATAATTCATTTAATGGACGTTCTACAGTAGCACGAGGAAAATTGGTAGACAAAGTCCGTAACCTTCTGTATAAATATGGAGACCACACACACAAGCGACAATCTGGCACTCTAGAAAATGCTCCACCGTTTAAAAGACAGTGTATTCAAGGTTTGCAAGGTAATTTTTTTTTTAAATTGTCTTGCAATTAAACCCACTGACTTTCACTGGGTTAAAGCAATTTATGAACCTATTTAGGTATTTGAGAGTAGGTATTCTAAGTCGCATCATTCTGGGTATTTAATACAGGTAAATGTAACTCTAAATCCTCTGTAAGTGGGCCCCATTTACAGTGGTCCAAAAATTTTTCTACATATAGGAGTAACAACCCATTTAAAATAAACATTAGTTTACCAAAAATCAATAGCTTAAGTTATGATTTTTTTATGTACTTTCTTGAAAATTTTCTACTCTAGTCAAAAGTTTAAAACTAATCTATTTTGAAAATTATTCCACTAAATTAATTGAAATTTGGTATTAAAGTAGTAGTAACCATGTAGCTAGCATGCAATGAACCATTTTTGTGTTTGTTCTTAGATTGCTCCGTTATTTTTTAGTCAATTCATGTTCATGAGTTTCTACAATTTTAACTCTCTAATGGTCATAATGTACACAAAAAGAAAATGTTTAAAAACATATGTATAGAGAACTTCTGATAAATAGATAGGTTTGAGAATAATTTCATGTAAATCTGAGCTGAACCAATGTTTTCTTTTGAGAAATTAAGTTAAAATTGTTTGAATAACGATTATGATACTGGTGGTGGTTTTAATGACTAGAGTAGAAAATATTGAAAAGGTATGGATGGCAACGTATCAAGTTTCACATTGATGTATCTTGTTCCGTTGCACTGGAGGCGATTTTCAAATAAAAATGTGTGGTCTGATGTGCTATTGAATGTACATAAATAATCATGACTTCTAAACTATTGAATTTTGCTGAACTAATGTTTATTTTCAATAGGTTGTTTTGTTACTATGTCCTCTATCTAAAAAAAATCTATAATATTATTATTATTAGATAGGAACAGGTACTTACGTGGGAAAGGCATTTGTCAGCTGATTGAAATGCAGGTAAATAATGAAAGTCTTACAAAACATTTCAATAAGGATAAAATGAAACACTAACATGATTTTTTTTAGATTTACATTTAAGAGATATACTGTTTCTCAACAATAACACCGAACCATGGGGTGAAGTAATACAAAAATGGAAAGATACATTTAAAGTTCGAAAAGAAAGTGAACACAAGAGCGTTCATGAGTTTCTACAAGACTGGAAAATATTATCAGACCAAAGAAGTGACATATTGGTATGTAATCTGTTTTCATATGTTTTACGTTTTATTTCTGAGCTATCCATCTTGACGCAGACCAATCATTTTGACAACTATGATATTTGTTTTCAGATAAACATTGACTTCGACTTGTTGTATCCAGAAAAAGGGCTGAATTTTTATTTAAATTGGAAAATATTTTTCGAAAAAATTATTGCTTTTAAACCGAACAGAGACGAAAGGATCTTGAACCTTATTGAGTCACTGAAAAATTTAGATAATGATTGTAAGTGTCCGTTTTTAATTTTATAAAGCTTGAGATAGAATTAGTAAAATAAATAATAATAATAATAATAATAAGAAAATGTTTATTTCAGTAATGCAATTAACTTTACATTAACAGTGGATGGTACCTTCTATTAAGCTTGTCAAGCGTCAGTGTCAGGAGGTACCGCTCTTCCATAGCTATAAATTCACATTTAACATTTTTAACTTAGTCTGTCTGTCCGTCGGTCCGTCGGTCCGTCGGTCCGTCGGTCCGTCGGTCCGTCGGTCCGTCGGTCCGTCGGTCCGTCTGTCCGTCGGTCCGTCGGTCCGTCGGTCCGTCTGTCCGTCGGTCCGTCTGTCCGTCCGTCCGTCTGTCTGTCTGTCCGTCCGTCCGTCCGTCCGTCCGTCCGTCCGTCCGTCCATCCGTCCGTCCGTCCGTCCGTCCGTGTGTCAGTGTGTGCGTGTGTGTCCGTGCGTGCGTGCGTGCGTTCGTCCGTCCGTCCGTCCGATCGATTGGATCGATTGGGCCGATCGATTGAATTGTCTGTTTGCAAATGTTGTATTTACTTGAGGTACTTTTACCACAATGTCTTTCCTTCTTCTCTTCGAAATATTTAGATCTAGTTTAGAGGCCTACGTTGTCTGATTACAGTTTGAGTGGTATACAGTTTCGCTACAGTGGCTAAATTTGATAGATAAAATTGTATAATATTATTTTCAATTGTTACAGTAACACTTCCTGCTGAGCTTAAAATACTCGCACATCTGGTGCCTCCAAAGGGAAGAATTTCAAAAAAAATTAAGTTCACTACTCAGGAAGCAATTGACTCCTTATATATTTGTGTGCCGGTATGTTTTTTTTAATAGCCCCGCCCTAGGGAAACCCTGTGTCGCGGGTGCCATGGATATACACATAAACCATCACAAATTACACTCAAACTCACGAGAGAAATAAATTTAGGCCATACAAATATTTCTCCGAGCCCGGGAATCGAACCTGGGACCTCTGCGTTGGCAGTTCGGCATGGTAACCTTTCGGCCACGGAGGAATTTATAATGTCGACTCATCCGAAGTCCGATATGATTATATAACGAAAAGAGAATAAGTACGTTACGAGAATAATTTCGTTATTCAAACTAAGGCCTGTGTAAAGGCGTTTTGACAATTTATATATCTTATTTCGTTTCGAAAATACAAAATCCAACAGTCGATCTGACATTTACAGCGAAGAAGAACAAACGAAATGTACTATGTCCTGAGAACAAGTAGTCTTGCACATATAGATCTTTGTTCTACGGATGAGTAGGTATATATATATATATAAAACTGTCTCCTGTATATAATATATGTATGTATTTTTTGTTTTCAATATTTATGCCTCATATGCCTCATTTATAATATTACTTTGTGGTAAAGATTGGCTCACAAATCTGTTGTGGCTACTTATTATGTTTCATTCATTATGTACTCTTAATACTATCTTAATTTCTAGAATGCTGGCGATATAGACCAAGTAATCAAAGAACAAAAACAAAAGGCGACAAGCAAGAAATTGTCTGTTCAACCCTATGTTATACTCCAGGGATCTTTGCTAGAGTGTGGTTCACCGTTACTAATAGTAGATGATGTAAGATATCAATTTTTAACCATAACAAAAGCTTTTGATACTCTTTTTAAACTTTACCATACCTTCAACGTTAGATATCCCAGAGCAGGCGACCATTTATATTTGATCATACAAAGATGTGTATATAATATAGAAACTAAGTACGATAACGTCGTACCGTATATAATTGACGTTTTGAATATGTGATTTAGCTAAACACCACTTTCAAGGTTTCATAAACTCAATCAGAGCAGGGCCCACTCCCAATTGAGTTGTTAATGCTATTCTTTGAAAAAAAAAAACAGTTTATACACAGACTTTCAATTAGAAAGAATTTTCTTACCACTTCTAACTCAGTTACGACAATTTATGCAACAATAATTGCTACAAGTGATATTTACAATATTGTTAACCTGATCAATCTCCGACTAAAACTCTCTGTGTTTCGCTTATTGTCAAAATGGATTTGAACTGTAATTACTGTCACAAAATACTTCATGATTTTAAGCAATACATTTTTCATTTAGAAACTATCCATAAAATAGGTAACTATTTTGTCTGCCCTTTTGAGAGTTGTAAAAGAACATATGATAAAAAAAATCGTTTTAAAAATCATTTAACAACGTGTTACAATTCAAATCGCAATAGGAATAGTACTTCTTGTGACAATAGTATTAATATCAGTAACTCCATCCTGTCCGAACAAAGTTCATTTCCAAGTACCAATGATACACACCAATCTTTTGACACATCACCGTCGAATGATAAAGACACTGGAAATGAATCTTTTATAAAATCTGTAAAATCATACTTAAATATATTTGTATGCAATTTATATGGGTTTGTTAGTTTACCAAGATCTTTAATACAAACTTTGATAGAATTAGTTCAAACCTTAATCCACAACATCACTTCAAATATACACGAAACAGTTAATAACGAACATATAGATGCCACTAAAAGAAACATTATTGTAATAGAAATGATATTAGCATTACCAGACATATTTAAAGACTACGATACAGAATATAAGCGCTTGAAAAATTTAGTTGACAATGAGTATTATGTAGCCCCTGTAGAAGTAAAGATCGGAACTGTCAAAGATCGACGTAGTGAAAATAATGATGTAACAATGATGCTGAAAACTTTATATGACACCACTTAGACAAACATTAAGCAATTTTTTAAACTTACCTGGAGTACTTTCTCACATTCTTAATTATCAACAGATGCTTTTGGACGAGAGTAATGTAAGTAACGGTGATGTGATTCGAAATGTGATTCAAGGATCGTTGTGGAAAGAACTTTCGGCTAATATAGACAAAGATAGTATCGTTATCCCTTTAATTTTGTATTTTGATGATTTTGAAAGTGGCAATGCCCTAGGAAGCCACGCTGGCGAATATAAGTTAGGTGCAGTTTATATTTCTATTGCAACTATTCCGCCAGAACAATCAAGTAGGTTAGAAAATATTTTTGTGACTCAAGTATTTTATTCAAAGGACAGAGTATTTTTTGGCAATGGGGCAATTTTTAACAAATTAATTGAAGAACTTAAGTTTTTAGAAGAAGTTGGCGTTGGTGTTTTATTGTCCAAAAATATCATTACAGTAAAATTTGTATTAATAACTTTATCTGGAGATAACTTAGGACTCCACGGCATATTAGGACTTTTCGAAAGCTTTATGGCTACATATTTCTGCAGGTTTTGTTTGACTACCAAAACTGAATCTGAAACCCAATCGTGTGAATTAAATAATCTACGAATGCCTTCTGAATACAATCAACATGTTGAAAATCGTATAGGAATTAAAGAAATATGTGTTTGGAATAATTTGAAATATTTTCATATTTACAATAATGTTACATGTGATGTGATGCATGATCTTACGGAAGGGGTACTAAGGTATGGAATGGCCCTTGTAATTAGAAGTCTAATAGATAAAGGATATTTCTCACTAGATCATCTGAATTCTAGGATAAAGTACTTTAAGTACAATACTAATGAGAAAAACACACCACCACCAATCAATAATCAACACTTATTAAACAAAAGTTTAACTATATCTGCTTCTGAAATGTTATGCCTTACAAGAAATTTTGCTTTTGTGGTTGGAGATTTAGTTGAAAATAACGACCCCGTTTGGAACTATTATTTAATATTATTGGAAATAACAAATGTTCTCACTTCACATTCGTTTACTTCAGACCTAATAGATTACTTAAAAAGTATTATTGAAGAACATCACCAGCAATACCTTAATTTATTTCAAAGTAAATTAAAACCCAAACATCATTTCCTTATTCATTACCCTACAATTATAAAAAAAATTGGGCCGCCTATACTTATAAGTGCTTTTAAATACGAAGCGAAACACAAAGAGTTAAAAAAGGTTTGTCAGTCAATAACATCACGAAAAGATCTTCCTCAATCTGTTATGAAACGTTGTCAACTAAAACAAAGTTTTCGATATGCAACTGAGAAAGGTTTGACGGAAAATCTTTTGTATGGTAAATATGAATTTGATGAAGGCCACTGTGGTGCAGACAATTGCATTTATGTTGATTGGTGTGAATTAAACGGAATTAGGTATACCGTAAATAATGTTTTGCTACAAGATATAATTGAGGATATTCCCAAATATTATATTGTTAACAAAATAATGATTAATCAATGTACTAATGACATATTATTTAAATGTTTTTTTTTAGATATTGTTCATTATAATGCTCATTTCAGAGCATACAAAGTAATACAAACAACACGTAGTCGTACTATTGCGTATGTAGACTTGTACACAAATTTAATTTCTGTACTGTATAAAGTAAAATTGGATTCCTATGTTAAAGTTGATTTTTGATGTATATTATATTGTACTGTGATGTCGACAAAACGAGTACGTGCAAATCCAAAGCTATTTCAGTGTTATGAGTAGGTACAGTCGCTGTATGAAGATTTATTATTTTGATTTCGGCTGTTTTAGTGTGATTGTTTAAATTATTCAGAAGGGTTGTTGCAGTGCAAATTTATATAAAATAAGTAAGTTACGTAAACAAGCCCTAAGGTTTATTGAATTATGGTTTGTCACACATATATGCATATATGTATGTAGGGACACGAATTTTATTTCTGTGAGTTTTAATTTAATTTTCTATGTTAAAGTTTTTCATGTCAATAATTCATTTTGTATTTCACTAATATTATGCCAGTATTGTATACGTGTACGAAAAATAAACGTTTTTTAATTTATTTCCTAAATAAGTATAATCTTTTTATTATTTAAGTCGTTTTGTGTCAAGTATTTTAAGCCTGCAATTTTATTTTGTTTAAATTTGTGAACAATTCTCAAAAAAATACAACCGTTTTCAAGAAGCAATAATTATAATTTGATAAAGTCAGAACGTCATAACAGCAACGCCAACGACTTCATTAAAATTAATTGTTGCGTTTTGAAGGCGGTTATATATTTTTTTAATTATTCACAAACTATGTCCTTAGGCTCAATTTATATAGCAGCGGAACGGAATGGAAACGAATTTTTGTAACGTTATTGTACATAGCATAATGAATTTTATGGTCAATTGTGTAACGTACATGCTCGAGAATGCTCGAGCATTCCGCGGAAGATTTTGGCTCGTATTTTGTTTTGTACCGTTACACAATCGACCATAATGTTCATTATGTTATGGTTAATATCGTTACAAAAATTCGCTTCCATTCCGTTCCGCCGCAATATAAATTGAGCCTTATTTTCAACAAACAAAATGACTTAAATCAAAAATACCCCACATTTTAACCCAAGACGGTAAAATCTTACATTAAGATTGTAATGGACTTATTAATAGCAGAAAGTTGCTTTGATATAACGGAACCAAAAGTCATAATTTAAGAAATTTGGTTTCAGAATGAAATCAAACTTCTCTTAAACATAGAAAACATAAATCTTCAGTTAAATAATTATCTCTCAATTTTCATTCTTTTTTTTCAAGTCAAAATCAGAAATTTCTAATAACAAATAAATATTTTCTTGAATCTAGAGTAGCTTTATGACTTAAATAAATTAATTTGCTCTTGGATTAAATATTTCTGTCTTAGAACTAAAATACACTTTTGAGACGTTTTTTTACTATTATCAAGTAATTATTCTCTAGCGTCTATAGGGAGAGGATCGTTTTCTTGGATTTAATAAAATTGTCTTCGTACAAAGAAATTTGTCTAGTTTTAAGTAATCTGTTTTTACCGTGTATGTGTATATATTATTGCAGATGAATGCATCGTGATTTAGTACCTGATCAATTTGCTTTTGCCAACCCTAACCAACGAAAATGCATCTCAGTACAATGACTTATCTCAACATTAATGTTAATCAACGTGCAATTTGCATCCTCGCGATAAAAAAAACCATATTTGAACTGCGTTTAACGTTCACGTTCACGCATAATTGGCTCGAGTAATATTATTCCTGGCTATATTTTGATTAGGTGCCTTTTTTAACCGACTTCAAAAAAAGGAGGAGGTTCTCAATTCGAATGTATGTTTTTGTAAGCATGTTACGCGGTTTCGCGCACTTTTCATTAACTGATTTCAATAAAACTTAGCAATAGATAATTTCACGAAATTATGAGATCGGTTTCTTTTATAAAAATGTAACAATTATACGTAAAAAAGGTCAATGAGAAGACACGATTAACGGAATACTAAAGCTAATATAAAATAAAAATTATTATAAAATCGAACATGAAAAATTCCTTCGATCGTGATGGATGGATTCGAACCAAACATGTATACTCGTAAATATATAGACGTACGAATGATATTCATTGGAATGAATGATAGAAATTGTAATGGACCAATCACATGCCTTTAATGACCGTTAAAAACAATACGAAATTCCAACGGACTAATCACGTGGCTTTATGACAATGGCACTAACCAATTACGAAACCGCATTCGAAGATTAACTACACTAACAGCATATAAGAAAATATTTACTGTGTGCTATTTCTGTAGCATCATCTCATTATAGCAGCTGACGGAACATCGTTACTTTCTGTGGCCTTCAAGAAAAGCAACTCAAGGAAACGCGGTAGCTGGAGAACGTCAATAAAATATTTTCCAAGAAACAGACCAGTGGTGGACTAGGGGTGTACTTTGAGTGACCGGAGCCTGCAGTTCTTGATTTTCCAATTCGATATTCCACTATAAATAACAAACTTGCTTTCCAGTTACAATGGTTGGGGGGCTGTACCCAGCACAGTACAAAACCAACAACGTATATTTACATATATTGCAAAAGATGTTACTAATGCTTATAAGGTTGAAAAATTGTCAGGTACTGCGAACACTGAATAGATTCTTGTGACATCATTTATGTCACAGACGAATTCATGGCAAAAAAGGTTGTACATAGGACAAATTAGGACTAAATTATTAACCGACTTAAAAAAAGACGGAGGTATATGAGTTATATTTTTGTTTGTATGTATGTTACGCGACAACTATTTGTGAACCGATTTTCATGATTCTTTTTTTTTCCTGGAAAGAGGGTACCTCAGTAGTGTTCCCATTTAAATTTGACGAAAATATTCCACCTCTAATAGTCATCAGATGAATTACTTTTGAGGTCGATTTTCTTAGTAATCTGTACTGAGGTTATTCCATTTCATTTTTTAATATAACGCTTTCTATGGAATCTTATATAATGTTCTCTGGGCGTGGCACATCTGACCGTTAACTATGAGTCATTGTTTCCAACTTGCGATAAGCTGCCTTTTTTATTATATCGGTTACGTGGTAGAAGGCGGAGTTGGGAACTGCCTAGCAATTTGTGAACACGAGTTTAGGCAGGAATTTTTATTAATAATTATTTGTGATCTCGTCTTTTAAGTCTTTTAAGTTTAAGTTCTACACACCACAAGAGACCGAAATAGGAAGTTTACATCGAATACCGATCTCTAAGTCCCATAATGATTGAAAGTAAAAGCAAATAATTAGAACAAAATAATTATATTTTTAACTACAATTACAAAACTTTGCATTTAAATACACTACTGTAGTCTAGGCTCTACTCTATGAGTAGAATCACTGGCTGAATGAATAGTTTTGTAATTAGAATGTGTTTTGAAAAATGAAGTAAGAAAAGAATAGAGCATCTTGATATTACGAAATAAATAATAAATAAATAAATAACGCACACACTCAACATAGCCCCGCACTAGGGAAACCCTGTGTCGCGGGTGCCATGGACACACACATAGACAACCACAAATTACACCCAAACTCACGAGAGATATAATTGTAGGCCATACAACTATTTCTCTCGGCCCGGGAATCGAACCTGGGACCTCTGCGTGGCAGTCCGGCATGGTAACCGTTCGGCCACGGAGGCAGTTTAGTTAAGAAATATAACCCAACGCTGAAAATATGTAAAAAAAGTCCAATAAAGCAAATTTTGAAGATTATTCCAGTTTAAATTCATAAAAGTACCTCTCGCTACGCAATCCGAGCTACGTCCCAGTTTACACTACCGTAGTCAATTGAGTATATATGCTCGATGACCATAGTAAAGTAATTGCTAGCTACACACACAAAAAAATTTAATACAACAATTCCATGATTTCAGAGGGAGGTGTCATGTACTCTATGTTTATTACTTCCTTATATGTCTAAGTGAATACAGTCAACCTATTGCGGTCTTTAATAATTAGGTAAAGGGCTTACATTATCGGTAAATTAAGAATTATTGTGTCACCTCTTATTTCTATTTACTTAAAATTAATTTTTCATTTTTCAGTCTTCGATAGAGTTTAATATGTCAGTATCGAATTTATAATGATAAATTTTGTAAATTTGTAATATGGTAATATAATGTTAGTTCTTAATTGTACGTTTCAAATTTTACCATTGGCACACTATGTCTCCCGGTCTGATTAGCTTTCCTCTGCCTCAAAGGTTGTCTGGAAGATATCGCCCTTAGCGATAAGGCCGCCTTTAGAAAGTAAAATGCGAAATAATAAAGTAGTGCAATGTCGCCTTTAGCATTTTAAAAACTCGTTAATCATTTCTTATACTTTTGTATCTGACAACTATTTAGCAATACTCGAAAATAGGCTTTTTGGTTTAGTGGGATAATAAAATTCTGGTAACAATAACACAATCATCTTTATTGCAACTCTCCTCTAAAAAGATATGGGTTCAAGAATCTACAGTGATCTGATCCAGGTCGTTATTTGAACAAAGTACATTTAAAATCCTTTCGTACACTTTCAATACACCACACCTACCAAACTTCCTTTCCCGTTTCCACATATTGTTTAGCACAACCAAACAATCACAGCTCGAGTTCCCACGGTAACATACGACAAGAATGTTTCACTCTACCGAAATAGTGACAGCCAAGACATCACTAACCAGAGGACTCAGGACTCAGGACATGTAGCAAAAGATATTGCTGATAAAGCTATTAAACATTAACAAATGTACGTAACTTTGAAACATAGTCCCCACAGGTATTCGAACTATTGACCTCTGAATAGACAAATAACCGTTCACCCACTGCAAATTTCATGCTAGATTGTCATGGAACTTTACTTGTTTCTGTAGCCAAACAACAATACTCACTGCGTTCCGGTTCTGAAGGGCTTTTTAATTATATCAATTGACGGGACGAACAAGTCGTGCGCCTGGTGTAAAGCGACACGCCTGTCCATAACAGTTGCAGTGCCACACAGGGCTTTAAATCGCAAAGATCATGTGGGCACTGCCGCTGTGCTCGTCACACAGACACATAAATTGACAAGTGCAATGTGCCTGTAATTATGACATTCGTAATATGAAATAAATGATTATATTCATTACAAATTAGGAAGTGATAAGATGGTAGGAGGTTGATTGTAAATAAAATTAGACGGTCAGTAGCCACCCACGGCCGCAGCGGTACAGTGGAGCGCGGGTTCAACAACCACTGCGAAATGTGCAAATGTCATTGTGTACGTTCTCGTAATTTAATGGTGATGGTG